CCAGGACTAGAGGTCTTCTTTGGAGATTGCTCCATGTCTGGGTGTATTTAAAACCAATGCCTTGTACTACTTGTCAATGTCTCGTTTGCGAGACAATTTTGAAAAATATTTTGTTTACAAAAAAAAAGGTATAAAAATAACTTATAATGACAAAATTGTTATTTTAAAATTCATGTGAAGATGTTATCAGTGATATGTTATACTGTAGGAAAGTTCCATATTCAAAGGTAAATCGTACATATTGATAGGGGTGACAAACCATTTCGACACAATCTTGATAAAAAGAAAATCATTATAAAAAATTGCGAAACAAGAATATACCGTTTAATTTTTTCCCACAATGCTTCATTGGCAATGGCAAACGAACGGCCTTCCTGGCTTGATCCTGCCGTGTTTCTTTAGATTCAATTTTTAATTCTCCACTTTCGTCCTTTTTTTAACTGCTGTGAGCGCGGCACGTCAAACGCTTAAAAGACATAGTCAACTGCTCCCCAAATACACGTTATCTAATGATACAAGAATAATTTTAAACAAATATTGACTTAAATGGCATATCAAGATCTGTTTGAATAGGCTGATTTAAATAACTAGGTAATAATGAAGGCGTTTTGGACGCCATATACTCTAGTTTCATTATTCAGTTTTATATTGTGTATGGGGACCGATGTTAGCACGAAAATACTGACATAGGATATGATGTTTTCAGTGAGTTGACTTTTTTAAAACTTGCTTTTTAAAAGTACGAATTATTGATTAGTAAACAAAAAAAGAAAGTGTTGAATTCTTTAACTTCATCGACATTAAAAATTATGGAGCTCTCGTAGTTGATAAACAAATTAATTCGCTCATTTTTGGTGACTGTTCTTCAGCAGTTTGTATAAGAATGCATTTTTGGTGAACATATTTTTGAAGGGAAGGGAAGATTTTATTCATGTTATTCGTTATGCATCCAATAAGAGATGTAGTATAATGAGCAAGCTAGTGACCAGATTAATCTCTTCTTGAATACAAAAGTCAAAGAGAAAACTCGACATGAATTCTTTAGGGACTATTTTTAACAATGTTTTCTATACACAGTGGTTCTTAAAAGCTACAATAGAGGGAACATCAATAGAATCATTGATCTAAAAAACGAATTACATAACTTATTTAAAGTTTCTTGCAGAGAATTCTGTACCTGGCCTAATGAAAAACTAAATTTATTTTTGCGTGAATTTTTTATTTGTTATATGTTGTTGATCGTTATGAAAAATTCATATTTATTCAAGTAAAACAGGCTGTTCATCGTTTTAAAAAAATAGAATACAAAATTGCTATGTTGGGTAAAAGATACCCGGGGCGTTGTACGTGCGTGTTTAAGTGTGTAACCTGTTACAGTCGTAGTAATATTTCTGTTAAAACTGGCAGATCTCTGACAAAAAGTCATGACTCAGTCATGTTTTACCGTCTGTGTGCAGTGTACATTGCTATAAATTACTTATTTATAGCTCAATTTTATTAAGTAAAGTTAAACGCCAGCGACAACTCTTCGAAAAATCAAAAGTATGCAACAATCTGCATTTGCATGAGGTCCTTTGTTATATTTCACAAGATTTGTATCTCTCTATCTCTCAAAAAGAATATATATATATAGAGAGAGAGAGGGGGGGGGGGAGAGAGAATGCCTATAAAATTCAAAGTGGTGCGGAAGCATTTCATATATACTTACAAAACCTGTGTGAGTTTAAAGAACTTTCAAAATTTGGCAGTTTTTTTAGAGGTCGGAAATACCTATTCATTAGCATGTAGTGTTGTATATTGTCTGAGTGTTTTCCCGCTAACAGTGTGATTGGTGTGTTGACTTTTCTAGCTTTGTAAATTTCAAAGCAATGGTTTCTCACATGTTTGATAGAGAAACACTTACTACATTTAAAAGAAATTTATTTTTACAATTAATTTGTCGTTGACTGAAGTTGAATGCAAGCGAAGTTTACCGATTGTTTTTAATCTCAATTCAAACTCGTATAAAAACCTGTTTGAATGAATTCTTTGATAAACATATTCTATGCTTTATAAGGCTTGGGAAATAATTCCTATCTGATTTGTAAATTTTCTCCATCAATTCAAAGCTACACGCTTTCACACGATTGTGATGGGCGTTTTTACTTGTTGTTCGCTCCGCGGTAAATCTAATTTGGTACTGTCCGAATTGGTGTAGGTATTTGATAATTTGTCGCCATTAGACTAAAATTGGGTTTCTAAAAGGACATGACCAACAGAATGTCACAAAGAAACGTTTATAGCATGTGATGCCCTTTTGTATAAGATCTATAGATATATGCCCATAAACGATAATGAAAAGATACATTTTCCTATTATCCACATGGCATCTTAAATGAATCGGAGAACAGTGGTCAGGCACGAGTCAGACACGCTATACCCATAAAACGAGCTTTTGAGTCGTTTAATTAGAAATTCAATACATTTGATAAATAATCAATTACTTTTCTCGTCGGCCTTGAAAATAAATTTTTGTCCGCTGACCCGATGGTCAGCATGCTCTTAAAAATAACCAGTCCCCCACTGAGTAATGTGACCTCTATTTCGACCGTGTCAATGGGCGTGTTGTTCGGTCTAGTGACTACTGTGTAACACATTACTCCATACTACTGTTTAATGGAGTAATAAGAGTCTGGTCGTGAATAAAATACTTCATCATCTACATAAAGGATTGAGGTGCGATTCTTTATTTCCAAAATTCAAATCTCAAATGGGTTTGGTCTTGTGGTTGTCTGGAGTGTACAATTACCATCAAAACTATATTATTTTTCTCATTTTTTTTAATACGACTTAAAGATTGCGTCTAAACGAAATCCAAACCATACACATACTGAGCAAATCTCTTCTTAAAGCAATTTTACTGATAGTCTGGACTTTTGTGCCGAGAAGACGTAAAGGACAAAATTTATCGAAGCACGGGATTAATATAAGTATATAACTGTCTCCTGAAAGTCCAACTAGTGATAATCGACATTCACTTTCAATTCTATGAATTCCCCACGTTTGCATCGATCAAACTCTACAAGCTTGCTTGTATTTCGTCTATACGTCATTGTTTGACACAAATATAATCATGTCATGCTGTAACTAGTCGTCCTGTACATATTGTCGTCGGCGACGATATGCACGTTATTGTCGACCTTCAGCACATAATGCCAACGGCTGAAAAATTGTACATGTACACATTGTCGCCAGCGACAATATATGCCTACCCCGACTGCACATATTGTCGCCCCATATCAAGGGTTGTTTTAGGATTCTTTTGTAGTTTTGTGATTTTAACTGATGTGTAAATAACCAAAAATTGTCCAATAGGCATATTCCATGAAGCATAATATCGCACAAAAAATAGTTTCTCTCTGTATATATTGTCATGTGAGTTTACAAAAATTGGTATTTAAATCAAAATTGCCCATTGCTTTCTATGAGATTGCATGTTCACTGAAAAAAAAGTTTTTAGCACACAATTGTCATTTAAGTCAATTTAACTCTAACGAAGCAGAGGCAATAAAATGCTGCAGTTACATTGTAAAGAGGAAGAATAAGGCGATGAACATGACTGGTATAAATTTATTTGTAATACATGATGTACAGGGCTACAAAATGTACCGTCACACACCCTTTACTGAAAGTCTTACATGTAAAAAAAAAAAAAATCCCTATTTATATATCAATATGTTTTTTTCTAATCACAAAACAAAAATGACTATTCTCATAAGTGATTTATAAGGTAGGGGTATATTTCCGATGATACGAAAAAAGGTTAGGTCCCTCTGAGAAAGTAAGTAAATTTGGTTCAGAGAGGAAACTAATTAATAAGATTAATGTAGATTGTAGAAGGTTCATTTACAAATAAGAGAAGAGTATAAGTTTTCCCCAAAACACAAGATATATGTTGCACAATAAATCGACAGTGTCATAATATTATTAAGAAATAATTAATATTTTTTTCTTGAAACCTAGGTGTATAATTAGATAATGAGACTATGTGAATGTTAAAAGTCCTTCTTTATGTATATATATATAGAGACATTCAGTTATCAAGATTTTGAAAACCTTATCACATTACCGTCGAGGTCGACACAACGATATGTCAGTAATATACAGGAACAGGACAAAGAGCTGTATAGGTGTATAACCACATAGTAGAAAATGGTCCAACTGTACATGTATTTAAAAGGACATAGACCATCTGTGAAACACTGATACCCTTTGCATTCGTGGGGAGGACTTTAATTAAATAGTGTCCGCAATCCAACACTGTTATTTATGTAAACACTCAGTTAATTGGATTTAATTTTTCGCAACTGAATTTTTAAAAATATTGGAATTAGTTTTTTTTTCTCAATTTTATTTCGAAAGGATATTCCGTACAGAGATTTCTCATCTGATCTTTATTTGATAAGAAATTCCAGCTGCAATGGTAAGCTTTATTACTTAGTGTTGTTTCTAATTAACATTTTGCAATATAAAGCATAAAATGTGACCGACTTTTCAAAAGAGTTGTTGTCGGTCTTTGTGTGTTTTAGGGATATGTTTTTTTCTCCAAAGTTCAAGAGTCTGGTCTCTTGTGTGCCCAACTGAAAGAGAATGCGAAGAAATAAACACTACACTGGCTGTTCAACATCTTAGTGAATATTCTGTTTAACTGTTCAATTTTTTTTTTAGAAAAGCACTACACTTAAGCTATGTAAACGGCATGATTTCATAAGTTCTGTCTGAGTGTTCTTGAACATGTATACATATTTTTTTTACTTAGAGTTCAAAATTTGTGGAACTGGTTTTCGTTCAATAAGAATCGGCTCAGAAAAACACGTGTTACATTTCTTGCATTCTTGCACCAAAGCGAATACGTCATTAATAGATATGCATACAAATTAATCTCTGATTTTTCATATTATGCAAATCATAAATTTGACAATCCAAGAATAATGAAATATGTTTTATATCTTATTTTCCAGCTTTCTTGGATACTTGGTAAGACTTGACCTCTTTAAAGCAAATAAAAATATCATTCAAATATTTTACATGCAAATTAGGAGAAGATATATGTAAATTTATTATTTTCTTTTATTTGTAGTTGTGCTTCTATTGTCCCCTGTCCTCGTTAACAGTCAAGGGTCCCCATTCCAACCAAGACCAAGGGATGGTATGTATATTTATCACATTTTTATAAAAATATTTATGCAATAACCACTCACAAAAATGAGCATACATTGAACGAAATTTATAAGGTCCTATTACCTTTTTTTATATAAATAAAGAAATATTCCATATGTTGACCCATAGGAGAAAATTGATTTAAAAAAAGACAAGTATTTGTGGCATAAAGCAGCCTCCAAATAACCCCCTAAAACTTTATCAATGAAATTCTTTTGCTTGATTTGTTTGGTCCAATTGTTTTGATGTTAGGAAGCAGTGAAACTTTCTTCCGCAATAAACACTGGCTTTACACGACAGAAAAAGGGGTAACCAAGAAAAAAAAGTATGTATTATAACGGTAAACTAGTAAAACAAAGATAGGAGAATCTAGCTGACAAAAAGATCAATAAGACTAGATCTCCAGACCAGGCTACTGTAAAGAGCCAAATAGATAACCCCCCAAAACAGGAGAGACGGGCATCTGAGGTCACGAACAATATATTGCAGTAAATAGATAAAGTTCAAAGATAAATTTAAGAAAAAGTGACGATATAAAAAAAAGTAAACATAATTTGAAATTTGTAATTTTTTTTTTAAAGGCACAATCAGCATATTCAGTGATCTGTATCTATTAATTTTTGACATGCATTTTTCTACTGGAAAGAAAGTTTAACAAATGGGAAAAAATCAAATTTAATCCTATTGCCATTAATGCTATATCGTGAATGTACAGTGTATATATATAAACTTTAGAACAATTACGATAGCTTATCAGTACAACACTAGAGTCGTATAGATGCCTACTTGACTCTAGAATTAAGGATACAAATATTGTCAAGAAGTAATGGACCTAAAGTGCACTTACGATAAAAAAGTTGAAATGACTTAGCCACGTGTTCTGAACAATATAATGAGTATCAGTGACAATCCAAACAAAGATTTAGTATGGCTATTGAGGTGAAAGAAATGGCTTAAATATTATCTTTGTCTGTAAGTGTTCCGTGAAGCTCTTCAGTTGGTTAGAGGGGGGTCTTATTTTCTGAGAAAATGTTTATAGTTCTAATTAAATTTATTCCATTCTTAAAGGTTTAGTTGTAACCGTGAGAAAAACACAATTATGATTATGGCACAATGAACAAACGCTCTTATCGAAGTACGCTATAACATTCGTATTTTAATTTTATCGAATGAAGAGTATATTGCACTGAAAAAATACACTCAATTTAACATTTTATACAAAAACAACAAATCTTACCCATATTGTGAATTGCAGTATGTTTTACTTCATTGGTGAGTAGTTGAAAATACATTTATGATTTCCCATGTAAAAGAAATAAACAGAATAGTTTCTTCACTTTTATTAGCTCACCCGAGCCTTCGCAAGTGAGCTTTTCTGATCAAAATTTGTCTGTTGTCTGTCGTCGTTAACTTTTTACATTTTCATCTTCATTTCCAGAACCATCTGGCCAATTTCAACCAAAATCTTAATTCTTAGGGTAAATGGAATTCAATTTTGTTTAAATGAAGGGCCACACCCTCTTCCAAGGGAGATAATTAAGAAAAAGTAAAAATTGGGTGGTCATTAAAAATCTTCTTCTCAAGAACCACTTGGTCAGAAAAGGTGAAAATTATGTGAAAGCTTCCTGACATATTGCAGATTCAAACTTTCAAATCATAACCCTCAGGAGTAGGGTGTGTCCACTATGGGTGATCAAAGTTTTACACGGGAATATATAGGAAAAATCTATAACAAATCTTCTTTTCAAGAACAGCAAAGCCATGATCCGTCATATTTGTATGGAAGCATCCTCAGGTTGTGTAGATTCAAGTTTGTTCATATCATGTTCCCCAGGAATAGGGTGTGGCCACCATGGGCGATCAAAGTTTTGCAAGGGTATAAATAGGAAAAATCTTTAAAAATCTTCTTCTCAAGAATAGGAAAGCCACGATTAATCATATTTATATGGAAGCATCCTCAGGTTATGTAGATTCAAGTTTGTTCAAATCAAAACCTCCGGGAAAAAGCTGGGACTATAATGGGTGATCAAATTTTACATGGAAATATATAGGAAAAAGAATCTGCTGATGAACAAGAGGGGCCACAGTTACTCAGGTGAACATTTTGGCCCATGGACCTTTTATTTATTCTGAAATAAAGTTCTCACATATGCTCAAAGAGCACAGATCATGAAATTAAAAACAATTGTTAAAAGATAGCCGGTCTGAGAGTATCACATCGTTTGATTCCAGATTGCGAGGTGGTGGACCTCATATTTATTCTGGATAGGTCCTGGAGTCTGAGGTCCCCGGAAAACTTCCAGAAAGAACTGAGTTTTGTAGCCGATGTAGTTTCCGTCCTCGACTTCAGTAAGTCACGTGTTTCTGTCATCACATTCAGCGACGATGCCGACCTCAACATTCAGTTTAATGAATACAGAACACTGAGCAGTTTCCAGAATGCAGTCCGAACACTCCCCTGGGTTGGAGGTAACACTTATACCCATAAGGCCATAGAGATGATGTTAGGTGAATATAAAAACCATATTCAGACCCGGGCTGGCATCACCACAATAGGAGTGGTCATCACGGACGGTGGGTCCACGGATCCTTACAAACTGGAGGACGTGGTAAAAGTAGTCCACAACGACAGAATAGAGATGTACGCTATTGGTAAGTAAGAACTGATGTTTTAAGCATCAAATGCACAAGTTACTCATTTGTTCTTGTTCTTTCCCATCGTCTTTGACCAAAGACATTGAAGAAATCTAAGAATAAATTTTATATTCCTGCCGAACATATAGTTACCCTTTCAAAATCTATTTGAGGTAAATTTATTACCAAAAAATGATATTTTTCATACTCTTCAATAGCTTTTACATATTTACTAAAACTTATGGGTACAGGGTATATAATACTCAAATACTTATTAATTTTATAATCATGGACTCTATTGGTGATGGATATGATTTGATATTCACCAGAAATATATCAATATTGACCGAGGCGAAAGAAGTAAATTCACTTAAATTCACTTAAGGGAGTAAATTTACTTGAATCACAAAGTCGTACAAAGCTTCGCAGCTTACCCTGGTTAATGATTGATTGATTTATTGTATTTTGATTGTTTGATCAATTGTATTTTGTTTAAACCGAGTTGGCAGTATTTAAGCCATATTTTGGCTGTTGATGAATACAGATCGTTTTCGAGCTCTCCTGGATATTTTGTTTCTCGACAATGTTGATGACTCAGCAAAAGTGGTAGATTCTAATGCTTATAGAGATTTTTTTCTGATGAGAACTGCGGGGTATCATCACCATAATTGGGTTTTAGCTAATGTTTATGTTAAATAGATAAGTTCCTCCTCTTCCCGATAAGGACACTCGTGAAATATGTTTGATCTTGATAATTTTATCAGCATGTGGCGCGTATGGTACACCCTAGTAAGTGTGTAATGACATGTCATTTAAGATTTCTTTCTCCAGGCAGTGACCTACATACATAAATACATAACTGACCCAATCATTCTTATATGTAAATAATTCTAAGCAAGATTTTAACGAATTCAAGAAATCTAAATTAATTGGGACCAATGGTGACCTTTACCCTCCTGTCCTATCTATATGTACTTAGGTTAGTCGTAAATTATTTACATAACAATATTTGTCTTAGACACCTGAGGAGAACATTAATTATACGTCATGAATTTATAATCTTATTTAGACAAGCATTTTGAATTTTAAAAATCAGATTATTGTAGTATAATGGGTTGAAGCTGGTTGTATATTAATATCATAATATCATCTGTAGTGTATTAAAATTGTAAATTATCTGAAAAATTTGAGTTTTCATGAACTTATTTGATATTTTGAATTTAAATTAACAGATGTTCTGTAGCGTATTAAAAAAAGCTTAATAGGAATCACAACTATTTTCATTCGATGTATCGCTATTTTCTTGTAGAATGTAAATCTTGATAAATTATTATTCTTTCGTTCAAGTAAGACAAGTTTGAAACGATGATTGGCACATGAAAATGTCTTTCATATTGAAAAAAAAAATTCAAGGTACTTATATATAGTTTGAGTAATGTAAATGCAATTACATAAATTTTACAGAAGCTTTAAAGGGATGTTCGCCAACACATATTCCAGGATTTGTGTTTGCATTTAAGTTTCAATTTAATAAGACCTCTGAAAAAAAATGCCATGAAAAGATTTAAACATAAAGCTTAGTGTAAAAAATGACGGGGACGTTCTTTACATACGAAGAAGATGACGGGGATGTTCTGTACATATGTAGAAGATGCTTTTTTATTAGTGTTGAAGAACACAAAGACATGTAAATAAAACATTATCAAGACATAGATTCTTTCTTCAGGTGTTGGCGATGAGGTTAACCAACAGGAACTAGAGATGCTTGCTACGGGTTTTGACCACGTATACCTCCTTAACGACTTGAATTCTCTTTCTACAATTCAGGATAAATTGGTTGGACGTTTTTGCCGAGGTAAGACATACCTGTGGTCCCAGGTCATAACCCAGACGCCTCTTACCTGACATGACAGTTTTCATTTCTTAAAGAAGTCCCACACAGCTGTACAAACTGTACTCTCTTGTCTGTATCATGCACTACCTATGAGCTCCCATTATGTAGATAATTAATTGTCTAAAATTTCACATCATCTTGACCTTTATAGTTCGTAGTAGATGCCATCTACTTGGAGTAGGCAATTTGTCAGCCTTAGATACAAATTAGACAAAGGTTCTAAACTCTCGATATCTTTTTTGTATCTACGACTGCCACAGCCAGCAAGGAAAATGCATATTAATATGCTCTTATATACTATTACACGTGTACAGCATTCTTGATCGTATTTTATTTGTTGAAGAATATTTTCTTAAGCAATGTTATTGAAATCTATCTCCTTTCTTTATTTTGTAGAACATGCATACCCCAATCCCTATCTTTTCAAGACAGATAAAGTAATAACTCATTACTTTCAAACTGATAACAGACTAGCTCTCTTTATACAAAATTTTTATCTCAAAAGTGTCTTTTACATGTATTTTTGGGAAAAAAGTGTTTATTTAATAGACATAACTTTTTTGGCCCTGTAAACTTCTGAAAAATCAAATCTGCTCAGTTTTAGTTGAAAATACATTAAATTTTACTTGGACCTTTAAAATTGAAAAACATAGCAATTTCACAGAGCCTGTTTTTCAATACCTGGCTTCGGGGCCACCAACATATAAAAAACTCAGCTCAAATCTTAGCCTCAAATCTTAGATTTCTGCCTCACCGGAAATTTTCCTAAAATGCTGTGCCACCAACATTTCTGAGATTCGTCTCACGTAAGCTGAGATTTGAGAAAAATCTTAGACTTATTCTTGTTGTTATATGCGACCTTTTTTCTTATAATGCACGAAGTTGTTGAATCAATGATTGAATATACATTTCAGTTAGTTGTTTATGCAATATTTTGGTGTACATTCGCAAAAATACACATTCAAGACTACCTTCGTCTTTTATTTGCTGTTTCGAGTCACTCAACGGAAAGGATTCCATTACGCTCTCTGCGACAATAAATATTCACCGAGTCCCCGTAAAATAATCCGTACAGAAGAATAACACAAAACATATCCAAACTTTATAGTCTTGGTTCGTCTGTCTACATAAACACACAAAAATATACACCGTGGCGTCACTTCCGCCATTGTGACGATTACAAAGAGTAGATAGGCGGATCAAGACTATATATTTACAGGCCGATTACACATTTTTTTCTTTTATTTTGTTTTGTACAAAGTCAGAAATATCTATTACATTTTACTCTCCATAGCAAAAATGTTTTAAATATAGGTAGTTTTTGTCCCTATTTAGAATAATTTTTTTAAAAAATCATCGTTTCAAGCGATCAGAGAGAATAGATTTTACCGCCGCGAAATGATGACTTTAATACTGCAAACTCGGCATTAACAATGATAAAGAAAACACAGAGTGATTTTTTTTCTAGCTGATTAAATCCTTATTTTCTCACATGATAATTTTCTTGAGTGTTCCGTAAAATTCGTGCATAAGTTGCGACAGAAAAAATGTCCAAGGCGAGTAACATTATTACAATTCAATTCAATATATACATGTATGCTTGGTTTTACTTGAACCCATTATCAAGAAAATTTCGATACAAATTGTTTAATGTCAGTTATTTCAGGTACATGTATACACACCCCTTCCACCGAAGAAACAAAAAAAAAAAAAAAAAAAAACCCGGCTGAAATTGAACTATACGGACATGTGTTAGGACGAGGCTAAATAACATATCACATTTTCCACGATCCCGTGAGTAATGTCACAGGAAAAATAGTCTTCTTTTCAGATATAATATATATAATAATAATTAATTTCAGATATAATAACAACATATATAGTGAGCAATATTCGTTGTTACACTGCATGGTTACCTAAATCAATCTAACAATCACTTATCAAGTGACGATTAACTGATTAATTCCCATGAAAAGTTTCCGCACGGCGTAATCATGTACTATTTGAAATTAGGACCATACTTGTCTAATCTCAAAATGTAACTGGTCGTATTAAAAAAAGTCTGGTTTATTCTTTCAAATAATATAAACGGTCAGGGATTTTTGTGTGCGATGCATAGTGTGTATAAAGCAGATTCCCATACGCGGATCTAGAGGGGGAGGTGGTCGCCCCCCCCCCTCCCACCCCGGAATTTGCATGCAGAGTTATCAAAAGTATATACTGAATCAAATAAAAATTGATTTTGGACAAACCCCCCCCCCCCCTTGAAAACGTGCATGGACCCCACCACTACCACAACGAAATAGGTTTTTCACGTTTGTGAAACGGATTTTTTTTCTTTTCAAGAAATTTTCGGGGTTTGATACTTTTGGGGAAGCAGTTTTGCTTGTCAAGAAATTTCAGGTTTGGTTTTTTTTTTTGACTTGGATGGACCCCCCCCCCCCAACACTGGAAAGAATTCCGGGATACCTATTCTCAATTAGGAATTTTATAGATTTAGTGAAGATCCAGATTAGACAGATTGCTATCATCAGTGATTAATAAATGGTGATTTATAAATTATTTTGAAAGCATAGAAATTTTTTTACACAAAATTTTGGACAATGTTCTTTTAATATTTGCTTATAATTTACACAAATAGTATATACGTATATTGTACAAGTAAAAAATAACTACCGGAGAAAGAACAAAGAAGAGGCTGTGGAGATTTAATATTATCTAATCATATTTTCTTTTCTGATATACATGTATATATAATGTGAATTGATAAATTTGCCTGATCATGAATAGCACACTAAAATATGAATTTAATTAATAAATGAAAATAATTCTTGCATGAATGAAGATATACATCTTATGTAAAACGTGTCGCAAGAATATTGCTTTTATTCCTTATTATTATTTTTTTTGTTTCAATGCGTGGATAATATTATGACATTTTTTACATGTGCGCAAGCCCCCCCCCCCCCCTCTTAAAAACGTATGATCTTGTTTTGGAAGAAATAAACATGCTCTCTGTGTTTGCACGGTAATTTCATGTATTCATGGATTAACCTGTGCACTGTCATAATATTTGCAACCATTTTACCATGAAATAATTCCGTGAGATTTTATTTGAGACTACTATGTACCAATCTCAAGATTTTCTGAGAAATCTCAGATTTTTTTTTCAGCTGAGTCGGAAAAAACGTTGGTGGCACACACGTTTCAGAGAAATCTCAGATTTGAGAAAAATCTCAGATTTAAGAAAAAAACTCAAAAGATAAGTCTGAGTTTGAGAAAATATTTCATTGGTGGCACAGTTTGGTGAGAAAAACTCAAATTTTCTGAGAAATCTCAGATTTGAGAAAATCTCAGCGTTGGTGGCCCCGAAGCCTGGACTCTCAGAGGAAATTCTTTTTATAGGAAATGTAAGCACTAAGTCTCTACTTTATAATGATGTTTGAAATTGGACATTGGGACTTGGTCAGTAAATTGGTATGTACAGACAGGGCCATTTTATGTATAAAGTGAACCTAACTCTTTTAAACTAGGAGTGACTTCAAGATTTTTGTAGACAATACCATTTTTGAAATTATTTGCTCATGAAAAATATCTATAATTTAGTTTTTAAAAAGCTATATCTAACGTAAAATTTAAAATTCTGCATATATCAAGGCAAAATTGTCAACTTTAGCATGTGCATTATCTGTGACGAGACCTTTCCAAATGTTTGTATGATTTTTATGCCTCGCCATGAATACAGCCGGGACATAAAGTGTTTGTCATGTCCGTCTTCCACTCTTCCGTCTGTCAAACTTTGTGTTTAAGCTCACTTTCAAAGAAATTCTTCAAAATATTTTTATTAAACTTTATTTACATATTGATGAGAGCTATTCAACTGCATCAAATGTTTGGATCTTGATCTTCCCTTTGATTATAGTTGTGTTTAGCTCAATTTCAAAGAAACTATTCAAGATATTTTTTTCTAATTATATATTCTGATACATATTGGTGAGAACTATTCAACGGTATTGAAAATTTATGACCTTGACCTTAACTATTCTTTATTTTACATTAGGCTCAGTTTCAAAGAATTAAAAATATCTTTATCTAAACACTTGCACTGATACATATTGGTGAGAATTTATCAACTGTGTCATTTATTTTTTACGTTGGCCTTCTCTATAACTTTTGACTTATTATTCATAGTGTTTAAAACTATGTTTTACAGAAACCATTCGAGATATTTTCATCAAATTTGACACATTTATACAAAGTGGTGACAGCTATTCAACTATGTCATAATTTTCTGACTTTATCCTTTTCTTTGACTCTCTGACCTTGACCTCACTAATCTTCATTTACCCTAATCTTGAACAAAGAAGCAAGATACATTTCTAAAGAACCCTGGTCGGGGCATTTTTGTCCTATGGCGATAATTGTAGTTGACCTCAGGTCCTTGAAATTTGACCTTCTTTTCAAAAACTAAAACCTTGGCCATAACTTTTGCAGAAGAGGCAAGGCCTTCAAATTTTACCTGTGCATTACCCGTGACAAGTTTTCTGGTGTTTTATGAATTATGACCTTGAAGTTTGACCTTCTTTTTAAAAATTTTAACCTTGGCTGAAACTTTTCACCTTGATAGATAGGACGTTTATATTTTACATGTGCATTACAAGACCTTTCCAAATATACCATGTTGTTTTACCTCATGACCTTGACCTTGAAGTTTGACATCTTTATAAAATTTTACACTTGATCGTATTTTTGCACCAGAAGAGACAGGGCTTCCAAATTTCTTACGTGCTTTAACTGTGATATGATCTTTCAGAATGTACTATGAATTTTGACATAATTAGCTAGACCTCGATGTTTGAAAAAATTAAACTTGGCCGTAACTTTTGCATCAAAACATATTACTTAAAACAACATTTTTAGTATGATAGACAGACAAGACAGGACACACAAGACAACTACAGTATTCCATAGATCATTGCATCCCAATCAATAAGTTCCCAACCACAATTCTCTGAGTTTGCTTGTTTATTGTTTGTATTTTAATTGATTTGTCAAATATCATATTAAAAAAAAACATACACAGAGATTCAAGCTTGAAACAAATCGACGGAAAAAAAGTGCTAAAAATGAGGATTGCTGCGAAACCTCTATGCTTATGTTTGTTCAAGTTTCCGTTTCCAAAAAAAATTCTTGAGAAGTAAATTACAATTATTGAAAGATCATCTGACTTATCTTTTTAATTGTTTTTAGGAACCCCAGCCCCTACTCAAGGTAAGTAATTTAATAGAAATTGATAAATATTTATATAAAGTGTGAACAAAGGCAAAATGTCTCGTGAAAATTCGCAACATGATTTTGGTACTGAAGGCACGGTGACACAGATACCTATGGGCAATGTGAGATACCCGTCTCTGATTATAGCACAGAAACTCGAGATCTTTTTGTGTTGACATCTCGTCATATCAGATTTGGCGTGTTTCCCTTGGTTCAATGTTCTTTTTATTTACTCAGAATAGTCCAAGAATGCCTCTACTGAGGTGTAAATGCGACTCCCTTTTTCGTTTTCTTTGGGATATGTATTTAATTGAAGCCAGATCAAATGAATGTCAGAAATAATTTGTGATGAAATTTTGTGTTTCAAAAAATGTTTGATAGAAACCGGTATTTAAGTTTTTATATGAAAGAGGATTGAAAATGATATCTGTAAACCTTTGAAGTTAATTAAAATAAACTAATATCTGATTGTGTGTTATTCTTTTGTGTATGGAAGCCTATTGTCCAAAACCATATTTATTACATTGGCCAAAATGAGTAAATACATGTAGAACCTCGATATGTATCAGCACCGACATTTTTAACCTTTGCAATCAAATACAAGTCAATTTTTCTCCATGCCCCTTTACTATTACAAATAAGTTAAAAGCATACTTCATACTTCATACTTGAAAATGAATCAACTAACTGCCATGGCCAGGCTAATTCAAACATTGTAAACTGTGAGATTACCATTACTTATCATTATATGTATTGCCTATACTTTTGATACAATACCTGTAAGAAAAAAAACACATAGTTTTTATATATCCTTCATACAGAGTGATAATAAAAAGAAACTAATCGTTTAATGATGAATTTAAATTATTATTGTTTTGTAAGTAAGGTGATATAACAGATATTTTAATCATTATATCCTTAAGATAACCAATACGATGATTATTCCTCTGATGCACCACTCTTTTTACCAGGATATAATGGTATTTTTTGTGTTACAGATCAATACACTGCTTGTAAGTGACAATGGCTAAAAACAAATCAAATTTCTTTTCATCTTCAACTTCTGAAAAATTTTTTTTCAGACTTGTAAATTTCATTTTCTGTTAACCGCACATTCTATTATTAATGACTTTGAAAAATGTCTGTATGGGTATGCTAGTGGAGTATCTTGTAGAAGGTTGCTGTTGATGTAGTAATGCCAGTGCAGGTCAGTACAGGCTATGCCAAAATGTAGACGCTATGACGAATTTTGAGTTTAACCTAGTTTTAGGACGTAGTTGTTATATCCTGTGACGTTTTCAGAGTTGTTACTAAGAAGAACGCTAACACAAGATGACTTTGGTTTTAACCCTTCCTAGCTGTCAATTAGAATGTAAACAAAGTAAGAACTATACCGCTAATCGCTAGCTATCGTGCACATAATAGCCAATCAAATACCAATTCACTAAAAGTATTTCTGAAGTTCACTTTGTTGTCAAACTCTTTTATTTTGAATTTCTATCACATCTTGAATTAATCATAAAAGATAAAAGAGAAGCAATATAAAAGAATTCCAGAGAATATTAGTAAAAATTCTGAGAAATGAACTTAAAAGATTCATGATTTCATGATTACATTAAAGCGTGTGTCAGCAAGACTGCCAACGTGCTTGTCTTCCTCGATGACTATTTAGCGTATCAGCAGCAGTACCAGCAGAATATGGACATTGTTACTGATTTTGTTACTCGGCTTACTAGAAGCATAGGACGTGATCACAAGTTTAAACTGATGCGAAAAAATGCTGTTCTGTCTTTTCCGAATATTCAGAATTTTTTGGGCGCTCTTCGAAGCAATCATGTAAGTCCTGGATTATCAAATGACAGAAATAGTTTGGATAATGAATTGAAATCGGGTTCTGTGAATATTGTTGTGGCTATTGGATTGCCTTCCAAGGGTTTTTTTCATCAACGGCCAGATAGACTTGCACCTCCAACTTATATTATAGGTAAGTGAACTTCATTTTCCGTTAGTCTATTAGCATTTGATGTAATAATTATTTTTAAAAAAACTATCAAACCTTCTTTTTTCTCTAGGAGTAGGTAAAGAATTGACAAAAGACATGTTAGAGCAAATCGTCCCATCATCAAAGAGTTTTCTTGTTCAAAACATGAATATGTCAACACAGATTGTCAAAGCGTTAGCCTTAGAAATGTGTACAGGTAAAGAGTACATTAAATGCCCAAATTTCGTGATTATACTGTCAGAACTGTATACTATTTATTTAATGCAAGATTAGAAGTAATGACCATTACGTGAATTTCTTTGTTAGGTTGTGAAGATGTTGATTTATATTTTCTATTGGACACGTCTAATAGCATAGGACCAGAAAAGTTTCAAAGAGAATGCCAGCTGGCGTCAGATTTGATAAAATCAATGGGTATGAAAAATGGTCACTCCTCCATCACTACGGTAGATTATAGTGATACATCAGAATTACACGCTTACACAGATATTACACAGTTCCCTTCCTTAGTTTTGTCCAAAACTTGGAGGGGAGGAAACACTATGACCCATCATGCACTAGAAATGGTTCTTAAAGCTTCGGCGGGAAAAACGAACAGCAGACGACAAGTAGGAATACTAATGTCAGATGGCGCTTCAACTTCCCCAGATCGGACAGAAAGAAGCGCACTCAAAGTTCACAAAAGTCAACTAGAAATGTTCACTATTGGTATGTTATATACAAAATCAAGAACGTGCTGAGAAAACTCCTTAATCTTGGTGAACTTGTTTTGTACTTTTTTATATTTCTTACCGTATATTTTTTGACATTAGAATTTGTCAAATAAAATAAATTTAAACTATTAGACATTGCGAGGGTTGTCCATAAAATTTGTAGTCAAATGCTATAATTTTCTTAATAATGACCACACTGTCAAACGTGTACAATATTTTAATATAGACCATTATTTAGTAAATATATAAAAATCAAAACATCAAAAAACATCAAAAAATCAACACATTTTTTACGAACGTTATAGGTGTAAATACTTTGTATATGTTTTCTAGGTTATTTATGTTGTTTCTTTGTGGTAGTAGGTGGGGTTTGAGTTTAGAGTTGCTTGGCTTGGTTTGTTTAGTATGGTTGTCGTGAGGGTGTTCAAAAACTTTTGAGTAGTAGTCTTCGTGACTAGTACTCTTATATATCGTCACTTAAAAGAAGACATAAATTTAATGAAATTTATCAGATGAAATGGAAATGGAAAGAGATGATTACAAAATAATCTGAAATAAAACTATCATGATTATAACAACATATATCACAAAAGAGCACAAATTGATATTAAGACAATAAAGTAAAGAAACATATGATAATAAAAGAAAAGAAACAAGCAGACATACCTTTAAAGAAGACTGGTTGAATTTATTTGGTGAAATGGAAATGGAAGGGCAAATATAGGTGAACAGAACCTTTATATACTCGCAATCCATTTCATTGATAACCTGTTCCTTTCTTGATATCTTAATCTTAATCTTCTCTAAGTCCACCAGGTACTCTGGAATCATGCTATCAAGATTATCTATTATTTATGGTTATGTTATATAGGATTCATTAATTTATCTACAAGAACTTAGTATCATTACTTACATGTACAATGTATATTCATCCATTTTAAGTTAAATTTTCTTATATGCAAGCTGCACGACCCAGTCTGACGTAAAGCTATATAATTTCATAACGTCAAAGATATGAATTTTGAATTATCACATGTTCGTTGACACAAGCTATTTCTTTTATTTATTTTTTGATACTCTGCAACACTGCCAAATGTATGCGATAATATTTAAAAACAGAACATAATTGATTAAAATTTTAAAATTCAAAACAATATACAATAATTTATGAGCGTCATCGGTGTACACACTTCATATACACAGGCTACACAGCCAAGCCCGACATTGTGCTAGATTTTAGCAACGTCATGAATAGGAATATCATGTTTTCATCAAATAACAATGTTTTTCATCTTGTAATATTTACACTTGCAAATGTTTCCCCCTATATAACACTATTTGAACAAGGCGTTTTTACATCTCTATAAAAACAAGTTTGGGTTCAAGAGGTCACATGCTAATTAGTGCGCATGAATACATTGACCTCCTGGGAACTAGGTCACTACTTTTACTACGAACGTAAACAAAACCGTCTGAAATCAAATAAAAGGTGTTGTTCACACAATGTCGGATGAAAAAAAAAATCATTTTCGTAAACAAAATAAAATCTGTTCAAAAACAAACTTTTTTTTATTACAAAAAACTTTTTTTATTCATTTATCATAATATACGTCTGCTTTCAACCCCCCCTACCAAAACATAACTATCATGGCTGAGTTTGGAAATTTTGAACTCTGTGATGACGACCTGTTGCTGTACCTTCTCTTTGATAATGATATTCTGGCCGCATTGGATCTCCCTTTTATGGCCCCAGCAAGCGTTGAAGAGACTGAAGAGGTCGAGAAGGAGCTGAAGATGTCTGATATGGAGGGACTTCCTAGCCCTGGTATGCCCACCCCCCCTTCTAAGAGATTTAAGTCAATGACCGAGGAAGATCTGAAACAGTTTGAGGACTCCAGACAATCCATTTCAACAAAAAGAAATACTCAGTGGGGAGTGAAACTCTTTCAAGGTACATATGTTATAAGTACCTCTAAAAAAAACTACAAACAAGGAATATAAATGATAAACAAATTAAACCAATCAAAATTCAAACAATGCCGATATCAATATATCCTTGTAAATAAGGCAAAGGTATGTTCTACAAGTATATTTACAGTATAACAATACATTCACCAGCACAAAGGCATACCATATTTTTTCTGCAGTTTCAGCAGGTGGTTCTAATGAAAGAATTCAATGTATTTCAAACAAACAAACAAACAAAACATAACAGAAATGCAGTTAACTTACAAAAATAAAGTATAATTTTTAAATCAACATAAAAAAAAAACAACTAAACA